TCGGCTACTGAGCCCATCTGGAGCTCCGCCTCGTTTCTGCTCGGTCCAGCTTACAAAAAGAGCTGCATACATAATGTTGTTGCCGTTGACTGACGACGGCACTGTTATTACAAAGGAGACTACGGTATCGCAAAAAAATAAAAATTTATGTTAATTTTTTATCCCTTTTGCTTCCTTTCTTTCCTTTTCCTGTTCGAGGCGTTTTCCCTCAACACTGCCGTCAGCCAAATGATATCGCGAAGCATAGGTTTGAATTGAATAGTCTCACATTGTCCGATACAACGCTCAGGGTCATTATCATTTGCGAGCTGACGCCCATTTGTCGACATGTATACCATTGATTCGCGAGTACGTACCATAGAAGCGTCATCATTCTGGATCGCTGTTTTCTTGAAAATATTCACATCGTCTCCAATTGTTGCTGAGTCCTGAGAATAAACTGCCCCCTGAATGGGACTCGATGCTTCATCGGATTTCTTGTTTCTTCGATACCGTGCTAGCTTCACTGGTCTTTGATTTTATCGGTCGTTACGCACACAGCAAATCTGCTGAATTTGAAAAGCGTGCCAACGCACCATTTGAGATAACGGCATCCATAATACAACCAAATCAGTGCTGTCATCGGTACGTCACATGCAAGTAGAGCGCCGATTGCCCATGGTCTCCAATTGTTTACGATCGTATTCAGCTGGTCTTGGATTTGTTGTGTTGCTATTAATAGTCCACTGCTTATCTCCGGCACATCCTCTTCGTCCACGTTCCTCAGTTCCTTTAAAGAGAACCCATGTTTTCGGACTTCTGATGATTCATCTTCTTTCTTCCTCAGGCTAGCGATCACGCTAACAGCATTGCGTAGCTGTTTAGTTTCGAAGCGACTTAGTACACTGGAGCTGAATATGGCTGCGGGCGCAAATACCGATTGATTGCTTAGGCACAGAAAAATAAAGAACATGTTACCTCTTTTTTTTGCGAAAATATCGTTCCTTTTTAGGACCATCCGTGCGTCCAAAGTTGGATCCTGCTGACCTAATCATTGGATGATTAATAGCAGATTGTTTTAGTTCATATAATTTTGATAAACCGCATCACTCCACTTGTTGCTTGAGTTCTTCCATCAATCGATCGTAGACGCATTGAAATTTTGCATTCTCCCGATCAGGTTCTTCTTTAGATGTCGATTCTTGCTGGAACACCGACTCACCATTGTGCGAATTACGTCTTTTCCTGCTTCTCCTAAACTCCTTTTCTATTGTTATTACCATTTCGTTTTCCACAAAATGAAGGGATGTTGCTTGAAAGTCATCTCAATTCCAAATGATTGTACTTGATTGTAGATAACATTTTCCGGTGCTCAAGTGAGTTTTCCATGTCTGCAAAACTGGATAGCAGGCGCCTACCATCATAGACGGCTATAAAATCTTCTTCATACTCGAGATTGGTCGTCGATAAGCATCGCTGTTCGATCCATTCATAACTGTATGACACTGGTTCACTAGATTTCTATCGATTCGAATTGATTTTTGTCAAATTGATTTCGTCAAGAGCTCTGTTTTTGAAGATTTCATTGCAGGAATAGGATGGCACCAAAGTGATCACAGTTTTGTCAGTAACTACTTGCAGTGACTAACGCAAAAAGCTTTCATACGGACTGTTCGAGTCATGCTGGAATATTTAGTTGCCTGAACTTTCCGGTACGTTCTGGCATAAACTGTTAAGTCTGTAGTTCGTATTTCCTCTTCACTTGCTTGTTTACGTCTGGGCTGCTGGAAAACCGAATTGCACCCCGATCTGCATGCTATTACAGTTTCACGTCATTTTTTATTGCTGCTTTTCTTGGTATTTCTATGCAGGCGTTCTTCCACTCCTTGATGACTCGTTCCCACTGGCTTCTTCAGCATCTATTTTATCATCCCAACGGCAGTTGTTTCTCCAGAAGTTTTGAATTAAGACCTTGGCCGGCAATATTGCAGGGGAGATCGGTCCCAGTGAGCCGAAGAATGATGCAATTCCTTGCAAGATTTTTCGTTTCGTTACTTTTCCTTCTACGTTTGGCAATTTTATGCAGAGCATATTGGTGGTTGAATTCCACATAATTCCTAGCATTTTCGTTAATTGTTCTTTTTTACGATCGGATTCCGGTATTGACTTGCTGAATCTAATCGAATTTGAAAGAAATTCGCGCATATTCATTTGCGCTTTCTTGAAAATTTTCTTAACTTTTATTTACTGTTCGCTTCCTCCGGATTCTTTGTTTCTATGATAGCTTATTCAAATAGAAGTTCTTTTCCAGCCCCTTTGCTGCATTTGATTGCACTGGTTGCAAATGATGCTCGATCATACCGAACGGCACACATCGAAATCGAAATATGATAAAATTTTTTCCTTCAACCGGATCGTCGGTATTTTTCAGCCATAGAAATCGAGTGGCGTCCCGATTCCTTTCATTAAGTGCCGGTTGATGGTATGCCTTTTCAGTGTCGCAAATGATTGCGATCTCCATTTTTCGGAAACGGAGGAAAATTCCAATTAGATCGTTTAGCAAAACAGGCTCTCGGTATAACAGATTGTTAAGACTTCTTCGAATATTTATTTTTTTCGGATGCATCAAATATCATCCGAATTTTCATTATTTCTTTCATGGATGTGGTGGCTGCTTGGTGAGGCAGATAACGAATAACTCCTGTTGATTCTTGGTAATCGTTTATTTCCTCTATGATTCCTTGATTCAGTTGTTCTTCCAGTATGTTGCCATACTAGTTCAACACTTAGGAGTGAGTACGGAGTTCGTTGACGGTGGTTTTCGGTCTTCCCAAACAAAGGCCGAAATTTGATAGTAGTTGGACTTCCGGATTCCTCCAAGGCCATCCAGTGCTGTATCTTTCGCCTTCTTTGCCAATGCTTTCTTGAAATTGTTGTACTGCTTGTCCGTCATCATCGTCGTTTGGTGATTCCTTGATTTCCAGAAGCTCAAGTTTCCAAAACTGTGCTATGCCCATTTAGTCTTCCGCTTTGCTTACAGGAAGAACTGTGATAGTGTTAATTACCGAATACCATGAAGTTGAGCTCATCTTAACTCCTTTCAGCGCTCCTTGTCACGCAATTATGTGTTCAATTTCAGTGTTTACTAACTGGAATCCGTTTTCGAACTTTTTAAGTACGCGAAAAAGTAACCACAACCAATCAGTATTTCTGGTTTTTCCCATTTTCTTTGACGTGTTGACCAATTCATCTCTTTATTTCTTCCCAGTTCCCATTCTCGATCCTTTGGTATTTCGATCTTTTGTAGCTTTGAAGTGATACGATTCATCATTCTTAGTTTCATTGGTTCTTGTTTACCGTTCTTCAATCTGGGATTAACCGAGACTACTGAATTCTTGTATTCTTTCGTTTGTTCCTCCGCGAATCCTTCTATCCGCAGTATTTCTTTGTTTTCTTCTTGGAAATCCAGCCTTTTTACCAGTTCTATTGTATTAAAAGATAGGTAGGATCCTGTATCCAAGAAAGCTGTCTCAACCTCTTTCTTTTTATTTACTGGATTTCCAATAAGCACTTTTTTGCAAAGCAAAAGAACCGTTTCTTGAAGGTTTCTTTTGTCGCTCACTGCAGCGACA